GAAATTTTTTCCTGTGTGGGGAATTCGGGCTGCCTACAGGCTTTGTTCTGTCTGAAGTTCCTGAACTAATAAGTTTTGAGCTCTTTTATATTCAAGAATACAAGGTAATTAGACATTCTGAAGCCTGCTAGATAATAATGCATGTTACCTGTGCTAGCCTGACTTTGTTGGGTTTGTGCTTCACTGTCAAATCTATGAGTTGCAGAGGAAGGTCCTGCTCCTGAATGTGTGTGTCTGTGTAATGCTTTCAGTGTCATTTTATTCCCGTGCTTTTGTACCTGTTCTTACCTCGTGACCTTTCGTGTTTCCATCTTTTGAATTGCCTTCTGTCAAGTTTGTATTTTCAAGCCTTTCACAGTCTTTCACTGACTTGAGGCCAAGGGCTGAACAGTCTCAAGCAGAAGGGAACGGGGGGTGTTGAGCAAGTTGCATCTGTCCCGGGTCTGCGTTAGTTTGTTAATTCTTCCCCGAAGGCCACAATTTTGCCAAGAGTGAAACAGTAAAACTCAGACTTTTCTGGTGTGCTGTTTGACAGCACCATGCAGACAGCTGAGTTCTTTGGGAGGCTGCTCTGTGCCTCTGACTTCCTGCATAGGTTGGATGGTAGTTCCTGTAAAGGATTTAGTGTCATGTTCTTCCTTCATGGAGTCCTCTCCCCTGAGCACATCCCACTGTCAGATGTTGGGTCTGAGTACATCATGGGTTCTTACTACACTTTCTTTCCTAAGAAGTTAAGAAACCAAGGCTTAAGAAAACTGGAGGGGAAAAAAAAAAAAAAAAGCTTGTGCATCTGTGTGTCTGGTTTATGTACTGGTCTGGGAAAAGTGTTTATTTATGCAAGTTTCCTACAAAAGATTGCAATGGAAAGGGGAAGGCTGAATAGCAAGAAAAACCCACATGCTGAAGTAATTAAATGCAAGAATTGCAAAACCATTACTGTGTTTTTTGTACATTCTTTGTGTATGTTTTCTCTGTGTAGCAATAATTCCCAAACCTGTTCACCTGATTTTTCTAGAACCAAGAGTTTTTGTGCTCATCTCTCAGAGTGCAGCTGCTGCTGGTTCAGAAATAACTGGGATGCTGAGGATAGGCTGGTGCCTGTTTTCCTGAGCGCAGGGAGGGTGCCTGGGACTGGTTTTTCAAAGGGGTGATGTGAAAGCTCAAAATACTGTGTGTGCTGAAAGATACAGCAGATGTAGTGCATCTGTGCACATGTTCTCCACAGACTCCAGTAGGAAAGGCCCTCAGCTCCATCGAGTGTAGATTAAAACATTTACTGGAGATACCAGATGGAAACAAGGAACAGCCCAGATCAGCTGTAGTGTCAGGCAGATGTGGCACCCTGTGCAGACCCTGCCAGGAGTAAGTGGCACGGTGGGCTTTTACTGTCTTTGTAGAATTTTCCTAGAGTTAAAAAGCTGTTCATCGTTTCTACTGCCAAGAAAAAGGATGTTTGTATAAAACATGCTGTTCCACTTCAGGGTAAGGATGAGGACGCGGCCGTGGGGTTGGCACATGGAGCTATGGACAGACTCCTTTGCTGAGTCTGTCTGCAATGCAGCCCAGGGTGCCTGCAGCCCAGCCCACGTGCTGCCAGCATGTGCCTGAGGGCCAGCAGGTCACCAGCCCCCGATGTTCCAGACTGGGTGGGGACACTGCACCACTGCAGCCTGGTGTGTCACTTCTGTTACCCGTGACCACAGGGGCCTCACTGTAGTTGGAGCTTCCTTCTCCCTCCAGCATCAGCACCCGTGGCTGCTGCATTTGCTCCTTGGCTTTATCATCCTGTGCCTGAGGAGGAAATATTGCTCTTCCTTGTCTTCCATGTGCTGGCAATTCACAGAACCGCCCCAGGCATGGCAAGCACAGAGTGAGGAAGTGTGAAATGCCCCTCTCATGCTCCCTTCAGCACCATTTTTTCACTGTTCCAGCCCAGCCCTCCCCACACAGACCATAATAGCCCTGCCATCAGTTCATACGTCCTGTGTGCTTGCTAACAAAGTGGTTCAGAATACAAGAAAACCTGATTTTTCTCTTCTGGACTTTGTGATGCCACCCCATCCATCCATTCTCAGAATATTTTGCCTTCTCCTAAAACAAGATGGTTGTTTTGAAAAGCAGCATCTTGATATCACAGATGCCAAAGCAGAAGCAAGAGGATGCTGCTACAGTCACCTTGGGTACAGGTGTCTGGTCCTTCATCATATAAAGGACAAGACTTGTCCTGCCCGTGTCTCTCAACTAAAAAGGTAAATGTAGATATATAAATAAATCTATACATCTCTTTTTTAGTCACACAGTTTGAGTTACAGCTTTCTGGTTAGTCCAGACCCTGCTAGGGATACGTTCTTGTCCTGGTTTCACCCCAGCCAGCAGCCAAGCCTCGTGCAGCCACTCGCTCATTCCCTCACCACCAGGGCTGGGGGGAGAATTGGAAGGGTAAAAGCTACAAAGCTCATGGGCTGAGATAGAGGCAGTTTAATAGAGAAAGCAAAAGTCGTGCACCCAAGCAAAGAAAACCAAAGAATTGATCCACTGCTTCCCGTGGGCAGGCAGGTGTTCAGCCATCTCCAGGACACCAGAGCCCCATCACACATAACGGTGACTTGGGAAGACAAACTTCACCACTCCAAACATCCCACCCTTCCTCCTTCTTCCTCCCCCGTTTTATATACTGAGCATGAAGTCATATGGTCTGGAATATCTCTTCAGTCAATTGGGGTTACCTGTCCCAGTTATGTCTCCTCCCAACCTCTCATGTACCCTCAGCCCCCTCCCAAGCATGTCATTAAAAAAGCAGAAAAGGCCTTGGCTCTGTGTAAGCTCAGCAACGAAAACATATCTGTATTGTCAACTCTGTGTCCTGCACAAATCCAAACAGAGCCCCACACCAGCCACTATGAAGACAATTCTACCCCAGGCAAAACCAGCACAGTTCCCTCATGACTTAGTCCAAGACAGTTTAGGCTTCTGCCCTCCTTCAGCCAGCTGTGTTCCCCAGGAAGGAGTTTCACTGATTTGACCTTCATGGGGTCCTCGAAACAAGAAGTACATGAACACTGCAGCCCACAGCAGCTTTTCCTATTTCTTCCCATCCTAGTGGCTGCAGTGGCGCCTCACGGGAAATTTCTGACAGAGGAATACAGGACCACAAGGGAGGAGGACATGAAAGCAGGTCCCCAAATTTCCTGAACCTCTGTGGAGTGTTTTCCCCAGCATTATCAAGTAGGATATTTTCAGAAGCATTTAGACCTTAAGCTGGTCAGATGTCCTCTTTAATGATGTGTATAACTGCAAATAGACGGTAAGAAATTATTTAGGTGATTCTCTAGGCAGTGAGTAAGAAATAACCACAAGGTTAAAAAGATTTTCTAAGAATTAAAGGCATGAAAACTGTATGCAGTAAAATCATCAGTTTCAGGGAAACAAAGAACCTTGAAAGAACCAAATTCAAACTCATACTAGTAACACTGTAATAATTGCATCAATGCTAATGACAAGTAGCCAAAAACATAAGTAAACCAAACTTCTGTATGCACTGTGCTTTTAGGCCCTGCTGTTTTGCAGAATGAACTCTCAATTATTCTGACATAAGAATACCTGCAAATGGAAGCTGTGGTAACGAAAGGAAAGACCTGGAAAGGTGAAAGATAATAACAGAGTTCCCAGGGCTCTATACGCAAATCTTCTGGGTTTAATGTTAAATTACATGACCACTGAGTGAAGCTGCCTACAAGTGACAATGTAGGTGGAGATACCTTTAAGCCCTATTTAAGACAATAAGAACTTTTTCCCCCCGTTGCCACCACTTTGGAGTCAGTACAATCAGATTCACAGCCTGGATTGCTGCAGGACCCACTCCGTGCCACTGCAGACCCAGACCATATCTCACTGTCACTACAGGAGAGCTGTGTCCAGACCAGGGACTAGGATTTGGCTGAATTCGTCCAATTACTTGTATTTGAGGACAGGATGTTGAATTTGGATGTAACAACAGCAAAGGCTCATTTCAGTTCAACTGAATGCAATGAAGCAGAAGAGATTCTTTACTGGAGCAGAAGAAAAATTGAGGGCTGTAGAAGACAACAAAAGACAGTAAAATCCCTCAAAAGAATATTTCAGTAGAAAACAGATACTTCTCCCAGACAGGACTAATTTGGGCTCAATTACTGAATCATACAGATTAACTACAACCTCTAATTAATATTACCTCATTACAGCTGAGAAGCCACAATTTTACGCTCTCAAAGATTTTCTGCATTGACAAGTTCCTTTTTTCCTCTTTGGGCATCTGCATGTTCACCTGTTTCCCAAGTAGTCTGAGAGCACTGCAGAGGCTGAAGGCAATTAATCAATTAAACCAAGCAGTTAAATTGCTCTGTAAGAAGGGAAGCTCCACCTGTGAGATGGAGTGGGCTGGGCAGCCCAAGTCTCTGTAGCTCTTGGGAATTTTGGGGGTTTAGATTTGTATACTTGAAATCTCCATCTCTTAAATGTGATACAGTGATATAGAATATTTCAGTTGGACGGGCCCTGTGATGATCATCTGTTTCTCACTGGTAATGTAAAGATTTAGGCTGTTTCATGAATTCTAACTTAAAACACAGTGGTGGGTGGCCCAGAAAAGCTGGTGAGAAAGTGAATTGTGAGGACCTTGCAACTCCTTATGAGCTCTCTCTCAGAGCCACGTGTGTGTAACATGCCTGTTAAAGCTTATTCACTAGAAAACAAAGCAAGGAGGAAAAGGGGAAGAAATAGTTGCTTAGGAATAAAAAGAAATGAAAACATTAAAAAACAGAAGGGGGAGTAAAACGTACTTAGTAGGAAATATGAAATAGAGGCAAAGTAGTTTTTAAACTTTCCTCTTCTGACCCTCCCTTAGGGCTTCCGCTCTCTGCCCACACCTCTGACAGTGAGCACTGAGAAACTTGTTTTCTAAAGAAGAGGAAGGAAAAAACACCAGCCGTTGCCCTGGATGCTTGTGACAGAGTGAACAAGGGCAGGGAAGGGCTCCTGATTTGCTCCAGCTTGGGGAGTGCAGGTCAATCGTCTGGAGAAGGGAGCAGCTGCAGCCCAGGAAGGATGGGAATGTTGCTACGAGCAGCCGTGCTCCTGAGTTCCCTTCTCCTCTGCAGCGGTGAGTCTGGGCACAGATCCCCTGCCCAGGGCAGCCTCTGCCCTGCACTGGGGTGTCTGCTGATGCTTGGCAGGGACGGCTCTGTTTTGAGAAGACGAACATGGCAAAAAGGCCAAGTCTTTGCATGCTGCTGGCTCAAGGTTCAGGTGTTTCAGATCCAGCGGCAGCAGAGCCCAACAGTGTGTGAGGCCATGGAAACGCAGCCAATGGACTGAAAATACAGAGATCCCACACACGTTGTGGTGGTGATTTTATGCAACACGAAGGGTCTGATTAGCACTTTTGTTCTCAGGAAAGGGGAGGTTTGGAAACCAGCAGAAAAGGGTAAAGAAGTGTTTATGGATGCTTAGATTCAGCCTTCAGAGTGACAGGAATGTACTTGGACAAAGGCAGCGGTCTTCATTTTTACAGGAAAATTTAAAGAGTCTTAGACCTCTTTCCCCCATGGTTTAAGTTGCTCATGTTCAGTTTAGGCTGAGAGAGCACTGTCTTCCAGAAAAACAAATGGG